CAATTATGATCTATCATTCCATAACCTATTTTAATGCTTACTATACTAACTAGGCTTCAATTATGATCTATCATTCCATAACCTATTTTAATGCTTACTATACTAACTAGGCTTCAATCTGCGCTTTGTGCGATTCGTTTATGTTTTTATTAAACTATAAATTTTTATAATAATAATTAATTATAACTATAAATATATCTTAGTTTTTTTTTATAGTTAGTCATTTTAAATGTATTTATTCATAAAAAAATTATTTTAACAGTGGATGTGGAAAAAGATTTAAATATACAAATTTAATCAATTTAATTTTAAAAAATAAAGACAAATTTTCATAATTTGTTCCTATATTAATAGATTATGAAAATTTATCAAAAATACCTATCTATTCTATCTTTTTATGTTAGTAAATTGTTTGATGTTATTCATTCTCTCTTTTATCATCTCCTCCTTAATTATCTCCTATCATTATTTATTTGCTTGCTAGATTCTTTTCAATTTCTTACATAAAGATCGAATCTCCCTATATATCTTTCAATGAATTACATTTCAATTCTCTAGTTTATTTTATCATCATACACTTATGTTATTATTATGTATTTTAATTTTGGCTTAACTTAGTACTTGTTGCTCTCCTCATTTCTCTTTCTTAAATTGATATATTTTTATATTTTTTTATAATTTCATTACTTTTTTACATCCATTTCATATTTATTCTCTCTTATTATGTTTATATTTGCATTTCTTTGTAAATCTTTATCTATAATAGTAATTCTTTTTTATTATTCTTTGTCCACCATAGCAACTTTGCCATACGCCTATGCTATTTTGTATCTACACTGACAATTCTGTAGGTATAGGTATCTATACCTACAATTTACTTATATATATATATATATATATATATATATCCAAATATATCTACATATTTATATAAACTATTGAAAAACATGCCTTTAGCCAAAAAAATAACTTAACCGTAAGTTATAAAAATAAAAAAAAAAAAAAAAAAAAAACTTGTATCTACCATTAAAATCAATTAAGATATAACATACAGTAACCTATACCCCGAAAACCATAGCTATGGTTTATTAAAAAAATCGTCAACTTCACAAAAGTACTAAAAGCGAGAGACTCGGAGCAAACACAGTGTGTGGGTCTTGGAGATTTAAAGTTAAAGAAGAGAAAAGTAAAGAAGGAAAAGAATGGTACTAGCAATAAAATAACACTCAAGGAATGTTCATTTTGATGGTGCAACACTCAAAGAATCCATTTACTTGAAAAAGTTTAAAAAAAAAAAAAGACTCAGAGAATTAATTCTTTTGAGTGCTGCAGAAATCCTTCCCATTCACCCCATCAGATCAGCCTGGGCTTCACTCCAGAAATCCGTCTCAAACTCTTAATCCATCTCAAAGATGAGCCTGGGCCGTGCTCTGGAAAATTTTCCTTTCAATCTCTTCCGACAAGCCTGGGCCCTTCTCCAGAAATTATTCCTTTTTATCCTTTCGGATGAGTCTGGGCTGTGCTCCAAAAGTTCGTATTTCTATTTCAACGATGAGCCTGGACCAAACGTTCATAAGGAGCTAAACCCACACCCCTGATGCTGTGGAGTTAGAAGTCGAGAAGAAACTCAATTCTTCTTTTTATGCCTATCAGCTTTTGAATGAATTTCTGTATAAACATCTGTAAGTTCAAAATTACTTTATAATTGTTATGTTTTATTATGAACAATTGAATGATTTTTTGTATGTGTGCGTTTTGTAATGGTTATGAAGAAGCTGTTGCTAAGAGGGTTTGGCCTGGCTTAAAGCTTGGACAACACCAATATAGAATGCGTACTTTGGAATTCTATGATATTTGTTTTACATTTAATGTAACTTACGATGCTTGTAGATTATAGCAGTTCTGAAAAGTTGAAGGTTTTTGTTAATCACATTTGTTGATTCATCCCTGCCTTTCTATCCTAATTATATGTATTCAAATTAGCTAAATTCCTTTTCGTTGACTCACTTTGCTGCCCATTACTTTGCTTCGCTTTACTTATATTCTAAAATCTGTTTCACTTTACTATATAAATGACTCTTGTTTTGTCATTTCTAATTGTTTCATTTTTTTTTTCTTCTATTTTTGAACAACTGTGGTTTCAAAGCATTCATTTGGAATTGGTATACTCTTTATCCAATTACTACGAATTTTTGCATTCTGTCATTGATAAGGTTATTGCTTCATAATATCCTTTAAACAAAGAAAGAACATGGAATACATATACTTATTGAAACTGTTAGTTAAGCAGCGTCCTTGTGGTATTGCACAACATAGAATTGCCTTGTAGGTGACTATTGCATTGTGATTTTTCCTTTAAGTTAATCATTATTGCATTTGAGTTTTAATTTGTTGCTGTATATATTGGTTTTTCTCCTTGCTCTACCTAACCCATTGCTTTACTTGTGCTTTTATATATAAATTCTGTTACCATACTAGTTAAAACCCAATTATTTTGCCATTTTTAATGGTTCTAATTTTTCTTTTGTCTTTGTTAAGACAAATGTGATGTCTGAGCCAACATAGAGAAGAAGGAAAATATAGTATTTAGTAGCTCAAAATAAGTAGAACTTAGCTTAATATGAATGCTATTGGATCGACATCTTAATATTGAGATATAGAGGTGATTTTTGGAATAAGAAAATTTTACACTTACCTATTGAAGTTTCTGTTAATTAAAGAAACTTCCCCATTTAATACTCAGTGGTACATCCTTAATTACCCAAACAAAATCCTTGCTTTTTCCAATGTTAAATTTGTTGATTGCAATAACTAGACTAGAGACTTGAAGAAGAATTGCTGACATAAAAAAGAGGAGAATAAAGCATGTCACTGTAGACAAATTAGCATTAATTTAAAAGTGTACCAAAGACGAGTGTAATTCCAGCGCAATTAATTTTTTAAATAATTTAATAACAAATTTTTTTATTAAAAATAAAAAATCTTATTGTACAATTAAAATTAAAAAAATAAAAATTTTAAATTTAAAACTTC